GAAATATTTTCATAGGAAAATGTTACTTTTACATTTACTAAATACTGAAAATTGAAGATCTTTATGCATATCATATTTCAGAGAAAAAGGAAGTCACAGAGACCCATTCTCCACGTATTCGTCCCAACTTTCGGGTTCACCAAAACTAGAACGTCACTACACATGAATATAGTTACTATACGACCGACGTAAAAAAAAACTTTGATATAGTGCCTTAAAATGTCACTGTTTCTACACATTTGATGCAATTTAAGGAAGAGACATAAGACATTAGACATACTAAAAATATGAAAAAATAAATTGTAGCATATACCAACTTTAAAATCTATTTAACATTTGACAATATATTAACATAAAAATGTTCTACTAAACTGAATAATCAAATTTTATGGAATAAAATATCATAAAACAATTTTATAAAATTTTAAACAAAACTTATTTTCTAATTTTCTATTTTGAGAAACAATTTTTCAAAATGACAAATCAAGCATATAATAATTTTAAAATAAATCCTCTACATAAAATTAAAAATGAACTCAAAAATCCTTTATGTTTGTGATTGTTTTTTTTTGCTCTAGCAATCGAAGAATTAGCGACCATAGTATCAGGGACCATACATTTGATTGATCGAGACCTGTAGTGAGGGAAAAAAAGAGCCAACATTTTCTCGTGTAGGAGAACCCATCGACGACCACTATTTTGTCGCTGGAACATGTTTTCAGCAACAGTAACTTGGTCACTAAACTTGTTGGCACGATAACTCCCACTTTTTTTTTCAATTGGTATTGACGTTTTGTAGTGATCACATGGGTGGTCGCTGGATATGACACCACTCCATTGACCATAAAGTGGTAGCTTGAACATGTTTTCTGCGATCAACCGTAGCTTGGTCGCTAAAAAAGTCGGCGCAATAAAATCCGCATTTTCTCAATTGGTTTCAGCATTTCCCGCTACCAATAGAGGCGCTCGATATGACACCACTCTAGAATATGCATGTTTAGTGTCCAAGTTTCAAATTTTAGATTTAGGGTCCGTTTGATTGCAAATGTGAAAAATTGGTAGAAAGAAAATATTTTACAGGGAATTGATTTGCCTAAAAATTATTTTACTGGGAATTGTAATTAATTGTGTTCGATCGGTATAATTTTCCATGGAAAATATTGAAAGTTTGGTGTCCGTTTGACTTCATTTTTTTTTATGGAAATTGTATATTAAAGTGATAATTTTTTCTACCATTGGGTTTAGAATTTGTTCCAATTGCCAAAAAAAAAATTTATCATACCGAATATCATTCATTTGGCTTTGTTTTGCATTAAAATTGTCTATCAAACTCCATTTTCTATGGAAAATAAGGCGAATCAAACGGAGCCTTAATATATCTTTTCTGCTCTAGATATGTAGTTTAAAAGTGAATACCATTGTCCTTTATGAGTCGATTTGGATTAGTTGCAACCCGAAACGAATCACAAAAATCGAAACCAAACAGATCGAGACCATATGTTTCATTATCGGTTCTTTTGATTCCAATTAGCAGTTTGGGCTTGGACCAAAATCAATTAACTATCAAACAATTGGAAGATGGATTCATTTACAACAGCAATACTGCTCTCGGTTAAAAGGGAAAAGAAAAAAATAGAGTGCTGATGACGATGGATAAAGATAAGATAAGACTCTAATTTGAGGGCTAAGACTGTTCGTTTTCCTCCTCAAGAGAGGCGAAGACTTTAGTTTCAATTTTGTAATCATGTTTATTTAATTGAGTTCGATATTAAAGTTTAAAAGTTTAAGATTATTAAATAAATAAAAATTCTATCGAGTCGGTTTGGGACAAGTCTTATAGGGGTGGTTATAGAGGCCATTTACCCAACCTGACTCGATGACTATGCCATTGATTTCTACCTTACCAAATTGCATTATTAACGAAAATGGACCAGATAGCAATGCAACAAAAACGACATTTTACAACCTACGAAAACTAGATATTCATAATTAATCATAAATAAATGGAATTAAATTTGAATTTATTAAATAAAACGAAGTTATGGAAAATCGCATTTTCGAAGTCCAAAATGATGGAATTTGACCCAAACTGAACGAACATCATGGCAAAACACTAAGGGTCCGTTTGATAGGTGAATATGGAAAGGAATTGAAATTACATGTTAGTTGGAAAATAAAAATCCACCAAATCCAAAATTGAAAGAAAACGAACCATTTCAAAAAATTACGTCTTTTGTTGTCCCACTTTTTCATGAAATTCTTTTCGTATTGCATCACATTCCTCTCCTGTTGCAACAAAAGCCAAATCAAAATTTAATCAACCGAATAAAATATAAACACAAAGGTATATTCTCTTTGCATATTTAACAAATTTCGTCCAATTGGAATTGATGTACAATAAATAAATAAAAATTCAATGTTCTAAAAAACGTAATACGTGGCAAACGTGGAGGTTGAGCTTCGGCCTAGGCGAGTTTATGAGTTAAAAAGTGTAAAAAAACTTTTTTCTTATTTTAATATTATTTTAAAATTTTAAATCAATTTTAAGTTATTTAATAATTAAAAGAAAAAAAGTGTAAAAAGCGTTGAAAG